ACCTCTGCCACAACCTTGCTCAAAGACCTATATTCAGCTTCAGCTGAAGAAAGAGAGATAACCAGCTGCTTCTTAGATTTCCAGCAAACCAAACTGCCACCTAACAGGATGCAGAAACTCGTCACTGATCTTCTGCTATCAGGACAAGATCCCCAATCACTATCACAATAAACCTGAACAGAAAAATATGAGGAGTTATTAAGAAAAATCCCAGGATCAGAAGTACCACTCAGATACCTCAGGAGGTGGAGGGCAGATTTCGTATGAGGAACACAAGGTTTCTGCATAAATTGGCTAAGGTGTTGCACAGCAAATGAGAGGTCTGGCCTGGTGAGAGTGAAAAAATTGAACTTCCGTATGAGATTTCTGTAGACTTTAGGATTGGGAAAAGGCTCACCAACAGAGGCCTTTAATTTCTCATTCAATTCAAGAGGGCAGACAATAGGGGTACAAACATCACAATGAAACTCCTTTAGCAAATCATTGATAAATTTCTTCTGATGAAGGAAAACCCTGAATGGAGTGTATAGCATCTCAATCCCAAGAAAATAATTAAGCAGCCCCAAATCCTTGATTTTAAATAGGTCATGTAGAAAGTACTTTAAAGCAGTAATCTCATGCAAATCAGTCCCAGTTAAGACAATGTCATCCACATACACAGCTATAGTAACCAAAGAATCACCTGAACCCCTAGTAAATAGAGAATAGTCATTGAAAGAATGGTGGTACCCTCTTGACTGTAATGCTTGCGATAGTTTGGCATACTATTGCCTGGATGCTTGCCTCAAACCATAAAGAGACTTCTGCAATTTGCACACTAAAGGGGAAGAAGAAGGTGGGGAAGAAACAGACAAACCAGGAGGAAGCCTCATATATACTTCCTCAACTAAGTCACCATACAAGAAAGCATTATTAACATCCAATTGAAATAGGGGCCATCCCGTCTTTACTTCCACAGCAACAAGAGTTTTGACTGTAGACATTTTTACAACTGGGGAAAAAGTTTCATGAAAATCAATACCTTCAACTTGAGTATCATCCCGAACCACTAGCCTAGCCTTATACCTTTCAATGCTACCATCAGCTTTATATTTAACCTTGTAGACCCATTTGCAGCCTATAGGCTTCTTCCCAAGAGGTAGAGGGACAACCTCCTATGTGTTGTTAGCCTCCAAAGCCTCAAATTCAGCTCTCGTGGCAGCCTGCCATTCTGGAACAACTGCTTCCTGAGAA